TATGTAATATATGGTGTGCAGCGTGTCATATCTAATATCTTGTATGTAATATATTGTGTGCAGCGTGTCTTATCTAATATCTTGTATGTAATATACGGTGTGCAGCGTGTCCTATCTAATATCTTGTATGTAATATACGGTGTGCAGCGTGTCCTATCTAATATCTTGTATGTAATATATAGTGTGCAGCGTGTCATATCTAATATCTTGTATGTAATATATAGTGTGCAGCGTGTCATATCTAATATCTTGTATGTAATATATGGTGTGCAGCGTCATATCTAATATCTAGTGTGTAATATATGGTGTGCAGCGTGTCATATCTAATATCTAGTGTGTAATATATGGTGTGCAGCGTGTCCTATCTAATATCTTGTATGTAATATATGGTGTGCAGCGTGTCATATCTAATATCTAGTGTGTAATATATGGTGTGCAGCGTGTCCTATCTAATATCTTGTATGTAATATATGGTATGCAGCGTGTCCTATCTAATATCTTGTATGTAATATATGGTATGCAGCGTGTCATATCTGATATCTTGTATGTAATATATTGTGTGCAGCGTGTCTTATCTAATATCTTGTATGTAATATACGGTGTGCAGCGTGTCCTATCTAATATCTTGTATGTAATATACGGTGTGCAGCGTGTCCTATCTAATATCTTGTATGTAATATATAGTGTGCAGCGTGTCATATCTAATATCTTGTATGTAATATATGGTGTGCAGCGTCATATCTAATATCTAGTGTGTAATATATGGTGTGCAGCGTGTCCTATCTAATATCTAGTGTGTAATATATGGTGTGCAGCGTGTCCTATCTAATATCTTGTATGTAATATATGGTGTGCAGCGTGTCCTATGTAATATCTTGTATGTAATATATGGTGTGCAGCGTGTCCTATCTAATATCTTGTATGTAATATATGGTGTGCAGCGTGTCCTATCTAATATCTTGTATGCTGCGTATATAGTGTACTGGCGTGTCATATCAATATCTTGTATATAATATGGTGCGGCGTCATATCTAATAGTGTCATGAAATATATATGGTGTGGTGATGTCTATCTAATATCTAGTGTGTAATATAGTTATTGCAGCGTGTCCTATAATATCTTGTATGCGTATATATGGTGTGCAGAAAGCGTGTCCTATGTAATGTCATGTAATATATAGTTGTTACTGGCGTGTCCTATCTAATATCTTGTATATAATATATGGTGTGCGGCGTGTCTATCTAATATCTTGTATGTAATATATGGTGTGCAGCGTGTCCTATCTAATATCTTGTATGTAATATATGGTGTGCAGCGTGTCATATCTAATATCTTGTATGTAATATATGGTGTGCAGCGTGTCCTATCTAATATCTTGTATGTAATATATGGTGTGCAGCGTGTCCTATCTAATATCTTGTATGTAATATATGGTGTGCAGCGTCATATCTAATATCTAGTGTGTAATATATGGTGTGCAGCGTGTCCTATCTAATATATTGTGTGTAATATATGGTGTGCAGCGTGTCCTATCTAATATCTTGTATGTAATATATGGTGTGCAGCGTGTCCTATCTAATATCTTGTATGTAATATACAGTGTGCAGCGTGTCATATCTAATATCTTGTATGTAATATATGGTGTGCAGCGTGTCATATCTAATATCTTGTATGTAATATATGGTGTGCAGCGTGTCCTATCTAATATCTTGTAAGTAATATATGGTATGCAGCGTGTCCTATCTAATATCAAGTGTGTAATATATGGTGTGCAGCGTGTCATATCTAATATCTTGTATGTAATATATGGTGTGCAGCGTGTCCTATCTAATATCTTGTATGTAATATATGGTATGCAGCGTGTCCTATCTAATATCTAGTGTGTAATATATGGTGTGCAGCGTGTCATATCTAATATCTTGTATGTAATATATGGCATGCAGCGTGTCATATCTAATATCTTGTATGTAATATATGGTATGCAGCGTGTCCTATCTAATATCTAGTGTGTAATATATGGTGTGCAGCGTGTCCTATCTAATATCTTGTATGTAATATATGGCATGCAGCGTGTCATATCTAATATCTTGTATGTAATATATGGTGTGCAGCGTGTCCTATCTAATATCTTGTATGTAATATATGGTGTGCAGCGTGTCCTATCTAATATCTTGTATGTAATATATGGTGTGCAGCGTGTCCTATCTAATATCTTGTATGTAATATATGGTGTGCAGCGTGTCATATCTAATATCTTGTATGTAATATATGGTGTGCAGCGTGTCCTATCTAATATCTAGTGTGTAATATATGGTGTGCAGCGTGTCATATCTAATATCTTGTATGTAATATATGGTGTGCAGCGTGTCATATCTAATATCTTGTATGTAATATATGGTGTGCAGCGTGTCATATCTAATATCTTGTATGTAATATATGGTGTGCAGCGTGTCATATCTAATATCTTGTATGTAATATATTGTGTGCAGCGTGTCATATCTAATATCAAGTGTGTAATATATGGTGTGCAGCGTGTCCTATCTAATATCTTGTATGTAATATATGGTGTGCAGCGTGTCATATCTAATATCTTGTATGTAATATATGGTGTGCAGCGTGTCCTATCTAATATCTTGTATGTAATATATGGTATGCAGCGTGTCCTATCTAATATCAAGTGTGTAATATATGGTGTGCAGCGTGTCATATCTAATATCTTGTATGTAATATATGGTGTGCAGCGTGTCCTATCTAATATCTTGTATGTAATATATGGTGTGCAGCGTGTCATATCTAATATCTTGTGTGTAATATATGGTGTGCAGCGTGTCCTATCTAATATCTTGTATGTAATATATGGTGTGCAGCGTGTCCTATCTAATATCTAGTGTGTAATATATGGTGTGCAGCGTGTCATATCTAATATCTTGTATGTAATATATGGTGTGCAGCGTGTCATATCTAATATCTTGTATGTAATATATGGTGTGCAGCGTGTCATATCTAATATCTTGTATGTAATATATGGTGTGCAGCGTGTCATATCTAATATCTTGTATGTAATATATGGTGTGCAGCGTGTCCTATCTAATATCTTGTATGTAATATATTGTGTGCAGCGTGTCTTATCTAATATCTTGTATGTAATATATGGTGTGGCAAACCTAGCCACTTGGACAATAACTAGAGACTGTGCCTTTAAGGGTTGCCTACAGGTCTGGAGAGATATGCGTTGTATTCCTATGTATGTGCTGGATGTATTTCTGTGGGGACTGTAATTACCGGTTTCGCCGAATGCCAATGGCGGTTTGTATGGGGATTCTCGTTCGTTTCGCGAACGGCACTTTGGAGGGCCGTTCGTGAAACGAACGCGACACCCCCTAATAGCCCACACACTTAGAGGCGTGTGGCGCTAGTTAACCGATTGCAACAATGTTGCAATCGGTAATTAGAGGCTCTCCTGGGTGGCCGTCGTTCGACTACCGACCATGCGGCGGTCGGCCATCTTGGATCCTTTTTTCCTCAGCGGGTTCGTGTTGTCGAACGCATAGCATTACCAATAGCTATTCGACGGCACGAACACCGCTGAGCCTCCAGGACGTTCGGGAGTTTCAGAACCAGGTTCACTAAAAGTAATCGGTTCTTTTCGTGTGTTTGGAAAGAAATGTGTTTTCTGTGCGGCGTTCGGTTATTTTAGATGGGATCTGAGCGGCAATCTCACGAATGATGCGCCCAGACCCCAGCTAACTACCGAACGCCCATTCGTGTAAATCCACCGTGTATTTTAAAAGTTATGTATTTTTGTATGAATTGCCGGTTCTGCTGCACGAGGGGATAATCCCCTTAACGGTGCATTCTGGGAGGATGATTCCTCTCGTGCAGCAGTGCCTGATGGGAGAAATATGTTATACTGTAAGTCCCCCATGTAGTCCCCTCTGGGAATGCCCCTGGGAAGGGACTCAGGAAACCCCTTGCATGGGGACTTGTATAAATTGTCGTGCCGATTAAAGGATTGTCAGTTGACTCCCAAAACTGTGTCTCGTCCGGTTATTGGGAGGTTGGGGATATTGCCTTGGTGTTTTCAGCGCTTGACTGTGGATTCGTTTCTGGACCAGCGGAATTCGTGGATTTAATATTGGCGTTCCGCTACAATTGGTGGCAAGCGACGGGATCCAACTCTACAGCCGAATACAGCGCATTCGAATGAAAGGAACAACCGAACGGAAAGGCAATTCGTATGAAACAAACAGACGAAAGCGATCAGTGAATGGGGACTGATTACACGGCGTTAAAGAGACAGACGCTAAAGGAGCTGCTGGAGGCTAGAGGGAAAATCGCTAGCAACAAATCGAAGGCAGTACTGATTGCAGAGCTAATGGAGGACGACCAAGCACACAGCAGTCCACCCCCACCTGCCAGAGAGGAAACACCATACCAGAGGGAACTGAGAACCCGGCTGGAATTTGTACCACAGCCAGTAACCCTGGACATCTTAACCGTGCTAATGGCCGACGTCCAGGACTACATTATGGCACAGCAACCCCAGAGGTCACCATCCAGGGCGGAATCCATCGTCAACTCATTCTGCCCTCCAACAAAGCAGAAAATACCGTACCAGGCATTTAAAGCATTCTGCGAGGAGAAAGATGAGATAGACGGATATCTGCAGGATTTCGAGAGGCTATGCGACCTGCACGATCTGGAACCGACAATGTGGGTACCCTTACTGGCAGGCAAGTTGGCGGGACGAGCAGCAGAGGCTTACCGCGCTGTGCCCAGAGAGGACAGCAAGGACTATTTTAAAGTAAAAAGAGCCATCCTAGAAAGATATGCCATAACCCCGGAGGCATACCGACGGAAATTTCGGG